ATATATATATATATATATATATATATATATATATATATATATATATATATGTAACTTTAAGACTTCATAGCTTCATCAAAATTTTTGAGTTGGTTGGTCGATATCCAAATTATGCTGGACTTATAGCACAACTAGCAGGCCAGTAATTTCCTCCTTAGCCCAGGAAGACATTTCTGATGAGTATTTGAATTGGCTTTTCTCAAAGCTGTTTATTCCTGATTCTTTTCATACCACAGCTTTCTTTCCGTTAGCATACCATCTTTTTCAAAATAAACATACATTTTCAGAATTCATCTATTCTTAAAATGAATTCTTAAAATTCTTTAATCAGATAAAGTGAAACATCATTTTGTTTAATCTTGACACAAAGGAATTTTATGGTAATACTCTAATATAATCACATAATTCCTGGCACATTCTGCCGGACAGACATTATTTTTCATCTGGAGTAAAAAAAACAAAAACAAAAGAAAACATGATTTTATATAAGTGAAATAAGATACATTATTTCTTTTGATCTCAATTTGTCAACCTGAGGTAAAATGTTTTGTAAAGAAAAAAAAGGCCATTGTAAAGTTTATAGCATTAGATCCTTCATATGTAATTTTATATTAAATTGTACCTGATTTAGATAATGGTTAAACTTTCCTGAAAGAAATTATGCATTTATACCCTAAATGAATTTAATTCAATTCAAATATTGAAATTAAGTCAAGGCAAGAAATCATTTGCGTTGCAATAAGATTGATACAAACATCAGCATGACAGAAATAACAACTGCATCTTTATTATTTTGAGTAACTGATCAGGTGAACAGCTAATAATATTTCTGAATAAATTAAACCTAAAAATAGCAAAGGCAGATTACAGCCACTTTGGCTAAAACCAAGAAAAAGAGGCTGAAATCACTTCATGGATAAAAGATGAGAGAACCTCGCTTTTAGCGGCAGCTGCTGCCCACTTTAAAGGGAGACATACCTGACTTTCAGCAAACATGCCCTAGCAATGTAAATCACAGTGAGAAGATTGTGGAAAACCCCCATTAGGAGCCAGTCATGCATCTCAAAAGCATGACAGTGTCGGCGTGGAGAGGGTTTGGTTGGTACACCTACAGTGCCCACAGATAGGATAAAAAGACGTTC